TCAGGTGGTTAAGTAAATGTACTTCCATGACTATTCTAACAAATGCAAATAGTAACTGGAATGTCCAGTGCTAGATCCAGATGGGACCTGGGCAGTGTCAGATCACCAGTATACCACCTGTATGTCCTAACCAGAGTTGGCTCTAGACAGTGTCTATAGGCCGCATTGCATCTTCAATGAGCGGGCACACTCCCCATGCATGGATAAACAATATGAATATGTAGGGAGAGCACATTTCATTCACGTTTTGCCTCCCTTTGATGCCCGTTCTTGTTTGAACAAAGCCTGCTCTTAGTTTCTGGATTGAAGCCCAACTCCAGGAACAGTAGTGTATACATATTTATTTAAAATCAATACTTTGTATAGCTCCTGTTTAATGAGTAATGACTGTTACTTAAATAGTGTGCTGCCAGAATGTACAGAGACAGCCATACTTCAGACTTCCAGAGATATCAGAATGATGGTGTCTATGATACAAACTGTCTATTTTGTGCCTCTGCCTCCCCGCTTTGCCATTCAAAAAGAGCAGGCACAACATCACAGGCTGCACTTTTTAAATGGCACAGTAGGGAGGAGGCAGACACACAACAGCAGAAATGCTAAAATGTATAGCCAATTAATTAATTGGGAGTTACACAATAAATATCAAGCTTAAAATTTTTTTTTTTTTTTTAAATGGTGCATGCTTTTCCCCTATAAGACTGCATAGAAACTTCCCGCTCCCATTGAAGTGCTTGAAACATGTTGACATGGAGATTGTAAAGCAATGCAATAGTTTGTTTAGCTCATTGACATGGTCAGGTACAGCTTAATTTCTGCTTTTCAGGTGTGTGGCATAACTTTTTTTTTTTTTTTTAAACAGAGATTTTTATATAAAATCAAAATAGAAAGTCTGTAAGATCATAGAAACAAATTACACACTTGTCAGAACCAATGGTTTGAATAGGGTTAACAGTTTAAACCAAATTTTTTTTTCTATTGCAAATAAGGGAAATATCTCCAATAGTAATGTAAACCTAACAGAACATATAATTGTTATTCAAACAGAACTAGGGGAAAAAAGTTTTAGGCTTGTGACCACTTTTGAAATCAGGATAAAATAGGAACTACAGCTCACATTGAAGTGATTGTATAGGTAAAATATTTTTTTTTATCTTACACCTTTTATGTGCAGCTCCCCCCACAATACTCATTTGAGCCCAATCTCGGCCCAGTGCTGTGCACACTGCAGCAGCTGTTCTCTACCAGCTCTCATAGGCTTGACTGAGAGCAGCGAGAACCATTGGCTCCCTATGGGGGCACTTGCGGGAGGAAAGAGCCAGGATCGTTAGCAGGGGTCCCATAGAGGAGGATCGAGACTGCTCAGTGCAAAACCAGAGCAGGCAAGTATGACATTAAATCATTAAGATTTTTTGGGCTCCGCTTCTTCCTCCAAGTTTGTTCAGATGCAAGGAAAGAAGGACGCTAGATGTTCCGAACCTGGACAATGAGTGGGAGGAGATCTGGGACTATTCCTTTCAATATTTTATTTCCATAAAAGATATAATAAATTTAAAATGTTAATCATTTCAATCTGATACCGGATAGAGTGAGGACATTCCTGCCAACTGATTCTTCTGGTCCTTGGCACCGCTTGCATGATCCGCAGGCAGACTTTCACCACATCTTTTGGCGTTGCCCATTGGCTGTCTGTACTGTATTATGCTAGAAAAGCCATATAGTCTTGCATTGGAAAATCACCCAATTCCTCTTTGCTGCAGAAGTGGAAAGACCCCTGTTTACTGTGCTTCCCTTTTATAAGGCTTCCTAGAAAGGCCAACTCAACTTGACAAAATTTGAACCCTGTGGCTTGACCACCCGGATAGTAGAACAGAACCATCAGTGTTTGATTACTCCCTATGGCATCTCCTAGCGGTTTTTGAGCCACCTTCTTATTCCTCCCTGTGTTGCCTCCTCACGGGGTTCCTCCCTGTGAAAACTTCACTAATTTACATTTATCTTTCATACTTACTCTTGTGGAAGTTTGGAATACTGTAGTTACTCATCCTGTGAAATGACATCTTCGGACCACTGACTTTATACTTCTGTCCTGACTTTAGGCCTTTATGTTCCCCTGCTGAAAGCTGTATCACCCAGCTTTAGAGTGGAGCCACACAGGTTTTTTTTTTTTTTTTGGTGGTAGACTGTTGCACTGCCTTTCGTCATACACCTTATGAAAAAAAAAAAATCCTTATTTTGATTTAGGTGTTTGGGGCTGTATGCATTTATGGGGGGGAAGGGGATTTGGGATGTATACATACAGTATTTTATCAAGTAAAATTGTCTTTCAACGCCGCTTTCAGTAAACACTTGCATTTCACTACTCTGTAATGATACAAGTAGAGAACTAGGACTTCAACAATAAGAAATGCAAGTGTGTTGTGCTGGGACTTTTAGTTCTACAGAGATCCCAGCACACTTTTAGCTCTATTAGGTTCTAATAAATCCAAAGTAGAATGTGTAATGACATTTAGTTCTATGAATATACAAGTAGAGCATGCTGGGATGCATAGTTCTGCAGAGGTAGTAGATATACAGTACTAGTCAGGCCAGTTGGGACCCTTAGTCCTACAGACAGAAGAACGCAAGCCTAGTGCACTGGACTTTACAGCATAACCCTATAGAGATTGGGAAAAGTTATATGGAGTATTGTATTTCCTCAAGCTACTATTGCAGTTTGTGAATATGCACGATATAGCACGCTCTTCCTGATCCTTGCTTTACTACCAAGTATGTCACTCAGCTGCAAGAAGCAATGGATAAAACAACTGCCCCAAGCAATGATATACACATGCTTGCTTTAGCTCAGCGAGTTCAGGCAGTCAACCCTGAGAAATGTGAAGACACCAATGGCAGCCTCCCATGTTTCTCTTTGGAAATGCTTTCTTTCACATCTTTCCTTGTGCCTTCTATAACACTACTGTACCAGGTTATTTTTATAAAACATTAAATAGCTTTTGAATGTACTGTGTTTTAGCTAGTGAAATAGCTTGCCTCCAGTAAGTACAGGGAGATAAGCAAATGGGAAAAGGAGGGTATAGGGGAGTTTGCTGGTGAGACAAAACAGGTGTCTTATTATCGGCATTTCCCAAACCAGGTAAAACGGGGTTTTTAAAAGACTACATGTGGAGTTAGTGTCTTTCAGCTCATTTTGTGTCAACCACTTCTGTTTTCGGTCTACTCTCTGCAAGGCTGCAGGAGGTGCATGCATATTTAGACTCCAGAATGGAAATCCCTCCCTGAAGGCTTAGGATTAGATGTTCAGAACATCAGGTTACCAGTGATCATAGGGTTTAGTAGAAGCAACGTCACAAAGAAAAACAAAAAAAAACCCTCAGCAAGCAGGCTGCCTGCTTGTACTTGGAATCATGCATCATTTTCAGGCTCTCTAAAGTGTACTTTTGGAAGCAGAAGACATCAGACAGTACTTTTTTTCAGAAATCCTTTATTTTACCAAATATAAAAAGACAAAAATATTGTCTAACACAGTATACAGGAAATTACCCCAGTGCTGAATGTGGAAGTAAAATCCATTTTTTCTTTACAAAGTGAAAAAATAAATACCTCTTGGAAACCGAGGCTGTACATCAAATGTGCCATAAAAAAGTAGAGCAATCTAGTTTTGACAAAATGTCTGTGCAAAGAAACAAAATGCATAAGGAACAAAATTACTGCTACATTAAGGCAATAAGAAAGGTATAAAGAACATCTTTCCATAAAGTGACTTTTTTTTCCAGCTTTTTCCCCTATTAAGCTGGGTATTGCACCATAATAGCCATCTGGAGTTTACTATGCTGGTGCTAAATGCTTCCAAGATTTTGCAGTGGCAAGAGTCTGGCTCATTACAATGTTCTGGTTTTACAAAAGGAAGCCTGCAACAGCACACATAATGAACTTCTAGATAACCATAATGCCCAAGGTATAAAGAACAGGATGTTAGACAGGATACAAGACAAGAGAAAAGCATAAAAGAACACAAAACAAGTTTTCAAAACACTAGTGTATAGAACTTTGAAAATCTGTACATTTAAAATGGGCAGTAGGACAAATATTGAATGACCACATGTTGAAACAAAGTGGCATTCTAAAAGTGAATCTAAGGTTTACCCTGCAGATTTTTAAAGCTAGCACCCACTTTCCTATATATACACACACTATTCTTTGACCTATCCTACATTTGCTGTATAGTGGCAAAGAAGACAGACAAAACAAAAAAAGTAGTCTAAAAAGTACCTAAAAAACACGATTTTTTTAAAATAAAATCTATCAATCAAAAAGCATTGTTTTACTCTAAGTGTAGGAGTATATATTAATACTGTTTAAAGAGTATTATTCAGAAAAAAAAAAAATAAAAATCAAATAAATAACTTGCCTAAAGCTTTTAAAATCTAAAATGTACACAACTAAAAGTATTCTAGCATAAAAGAACAACCAATTAAGTGGCAGAGTTAAAGGCGAGTTCTAAAATTTTGAATTTGGCATTTTCACTTCCATTATAGCTTAGAAACCAAACCTGGCAAAAAAAAAAAAAAGGGGGGAGAAAAAAAAAAAAAAGCAAAAAAAAAAAAAAAAAAAAAAAAAAAAAAAAGCTAGCTAGTTTTGAACGAAAAATACATCCCAAGCCTTATTTCACAAAATAGCCCTTAAGGTGTACATGGCGCATAAACATGAAATGAGCAGTTTACCCCACAACCAGTATGGGCCATAGAAAATTAAATCACTAAGAATGCTGAAGGGAGAAAAAAAAAAAAAAAAAAAAGAAGTGTAAATGAATAACAGAAAATGACCATTTACAACAGCAATATGATCTGGAAGAACACATCTACATCAGTCTTCCTGCATAAAGGGGTGGTTTTTCTTCAATATCTTTAGTTGTAGCAAATTCGATGGTTGTAGCGTTTTGTAGTGAAGTCCATTGGTAATGTACATAGATACAGTTTTTTTGTCTTCAGTGTTTCTTCTCAAATGACAGTCAGATTTAATAAGCTTGTGTGTGTTGGTAAATAGACATGCTGAACATGATCCACTGATGCTCTGCATACTGGACACGACTGGTGAGAGGGAAAGAGTTTGGTTAGTAGAATGCACATGGCCTGCTCTTGTTTTTACACAATACTCAAGCCTTTGCTTAAAGTGTTACTAACCCCAGGACCCTGCATTCACTATATCTGGTCTCCCACAATACACAGAACAAGGAAATGCAAATATTTTAATTTGAGCACTGTATTTAGCAATTTATATTTACTAAAGAAACACTTTGCAAACACATCCACTGTGATATTTTTCTCCTCATTGAGATCTGAGATCTATACTGATAGGACTGGGTAATGTGTTGGGAATGTAATGATGCCTCATCGTTTGATTTTCGGGGTATCTTTGAATTCAGTCCTCTCTGTAGGTTGATAATTTTTCATTTCCATCAAACTGAAAAAAATTATGCAGAAGGCTAGTCCATTTTTTGCTGAACTATTGCAGCAACTGAAAAATGGTACTCAGTTTGTATGGCCCCCACGTGCTTGTATGTGCATGCCTGACAATGTCTGGGCATGCTCCTAATGAGACAGAGGGGGAGTTTTATTTACTAAAGCTGGAGTGTCCAAAATCAGACTCCCTTCTGCATAGAAACCAATCAGCTTCCAGGTTTCATTGCCAAAGCTTCATTGAACAAGCTGAGGTTGGAAGCGGATTGGTTTCTATGCAGGAGGGAGTCTGATTTTGGACTCTCCAGCTTTAGTAAATAAACCCCATGGTGTCCTGGGGTATTTCCTCCCAGCTCTGGACCAGGGAATCACTGAGCTCCTGGACAGCCTGAGGTGCAATCTGGTGGTATCAGATGGACAGAAACATATCCCAGAGGTGTTGGATTGGATTTAGGTCAGGCGAGCGTGGGGGCCATTCAAATGGTATCTGTCATGGTATAGGGGCCTGCCAATTATTAATCCCCTTATTAATGCCATTAATGCCCTTTATCACATGCCCTCAGCATCCTGCTCTGTATCGTTCCAATTGTCCCCTGTGTCACTCAGCCAAATGGCCTAACTCAATGGCCTAATTCAATTACTGTGGGCCCCCCTCCCTCCCGGCCAGCTGCCCTGCCAGCTCTCCGCACACCTCCCAAATTGCCTTTCATCTAGGCCAGCAATGGGCAAACTACGGCCTGGCGGACCTTTTAATCCGGCCCGCGGATGTGGCTGTCAGGATGTGTGTAGGCGGGGCAGCGTGACGAACGTGAGGGGAGGGGAGCTAGGCTCCTCTCACAGTCCGCCCTGAAGACCGGAACGGCGCAGGAACACGGCGAGAGGAGCGCGCGGAGCAAAGGTAAGTGAATTGACACAGGGGACTTGGCTTACTACTTGGGGGGGAATAGTACTGTGGGGGATGAAATACTATATGAGGGATGAATTAATAGGGGGGGTGAATTACTATGGGGGATGAATTACTATGCTTACTATGGGGGAATATTACTATACTTACTATGGATGACACATACACATCCATCTACTCTTGGTCCGGCCCCCCGGGTCCAATATATGAACCCATTGCAGCCCTCAAGTCAAAAAGTTTGCCCACCACTGATCTAGGCTGACATCATCCCTGCTCCCAGGATGTCCCTGTCACCAGCCTGATTCATCCCTGGGGTCTAGTGTTCACCCCTCCCCCCTCTCATCCTCATCCTGCCTCCAGGGGATGAGAGGTGAGACTTCCCCCACCCCATCTCTTCCTCTCTGGCAGCCAGGAGGTGGCGAGATTCACACCTCTCCACTAGAAGTGCGAACCTCCCACAGGGAAGGCCCTGGCTCCAGAGTCTAGCTGACACCAGAGCTGGCCCGGCCCCGGAAGCTTAAGAGGTTGGTGCCGGGCGCATTCATCAAAGGAACCCCAGCTACGGTAGGAACTTTGTGACTAGACTGTCAGCCCACCCCCCCGCCTCACAGAGACCCCACAGGAGGGGAGAGATGGCCAGAGAAAGCCTGCCATTGCCAGAGACACCACAGAAAGGGGGAAGAGACTGTCACAGCCTGCCTGCCATTGCCAGAGACCCCACAGCATAGGGGGGAGATTGCCCAAGACTGCCTGCCATTGCCAGAGACCCCACAGAAGGGGAGAGACTATCACAACCTGCCATTGCCATAGACCACCCGCCTGATCCGGACTCCACAGGTACCTGTGTTCTGCTTCTACCCCTGGGAGACCAGGCACCCTGTTGGATCCCCGAGTACCTGCTTCCCCCATGTTACCTGAACTGTTGTTGTGGTGACCCCTCGCACCCCCCTCCTTTGTCAGACTACCCCTGTTACAGGGACACCCCCTTGGACTATAAGTGGGTGGGGCCCCCTCGTTACCCCTTTTAGTAGCAAATTCACCCTCTCTGCCAACCCCCTTATTGAAGGACTGCCATCTGTTTGTCTCAAAGCTTTGTGCGTTTGCCATCCACTGTGTGTTCTGTCCTGCCTTTCCTCCGTCACAGTATCAATTCCTTCATCCTCCAGGAACTGCATGCATACTCTTACCGCATGAGGCCAGACATTGTCGTGTACCAGGAGGAACCCAGGACCCACTGCACCAGCGTAGGGTCTGACAATGGGTTGAAGGATTTCATCCAGATACCGAATAGCAGCCAGGGTGCCATTGTCTAGCCTGTAGAGGTCTGTGCATTCCTCTATGGATATGCCTCCCCAGACTATCACTGGCCCACACACCAAAATGGTCACACTGAACAATGTTATAAGGCAACATAGCGTTCACAACTTCTCCAGACACTTTCATATCGGTCACATGTGCTCAGGTTGAACCTGCTCTCATCTGAAAAGTACAGGGAGCCAGTGGAGGATCTGCCAATTCTGATGTTCAGTGGCAAATGCCAATCGAGCTCTATGGTGCCAGGCAGTGAGCACAGGGCCCACTAGAGGAAGTCAGGCCCTCAAAAGTCACCCTCTTGAAATCTGTTTGATTGTTTGGTCAGAGACATTTCACACCAGTGGCCTGCTGGAGGTAATTTTGTAGGGCTCTGGCAGTGGTCATCCTGGTCCTCCATGCACAAAAGGAGCAGATACTGGTCCTGCTGATGGGTTAAGGAACTTCTACGACCCTGTCCAGCTCTCCTAGATTAACTGCCTGTCTCTTGGAATCTCCTCCAGTGCCTTGAATTCATACCCCTTGAAGTTTTCCACAACTTTTAATGCTACAACCAAAAAATGTAAAAATGTATTTTATTGGGATTTTATGTGATAGACCAAACAAAATTGGCACATAATTGTGAAGTGGAAGGAAAATTAATGGTTTTCAATTTTTTTTTTTTTTTTTACAAAATATCTGAAAAGTGCGGCATCCATTTTATATTCAGCCCCCTTTGCTCTGTTACCCCCAACTAAAATCTAGTAGAACCAATTACACACACCAAAAGTATTGATATGCTTGCCTTTACACGCACAAACTTTAATGGCATCCCAATCTTAGTCTGTAGGGTTCAATATGGAGTTGGCCCACCCTTTGCAACTATAACAGCTTCAACTCTTCTGGGAAGGCTGCCCACAATGTTTAGGATTGTGACTATGGGAATGTTTGACCATTCTTCCAGAAGCACATCTGTGAAATCAGGCACGGCTTGCGGTCTCCGATCTAATTCATCCCAAAAAAGGTGTTCCATCAGGCCAATTAAGTTCCTCCACTCCAAACTTGCTCATATAGGTCTTTATGCACCTTGCTTTGTGCACTGGTGCACAATTATGTTGGAACAGGAAGGGGCCATCCCAAAACGGTTTCCACAAGGTTGGGAGCATGTAATTTTCAAAAATGTCTTGGTATGCTGACGCCTTAAGAGTTCCCTTCGCTGGAATTAAGGGGCAAAGCCCAACCCCTGAAAGCCCCAAAACACACGCACACTCCAGAGAACATGTCTCCACTGCTCTAGAGTCCAGTGGTGGTGTGCTTTACACCACTGCATCCGACGTGTTACATTGCACTTGGTGATGTAAGGCTGGCATGCAGCTGCTCGGCCATGGAAACCCATTCCATGAAGCGCTCTATGCACACTGTGCTAATCTGAAGGCCACAGAAAGTTAGTCTTTAGCTATTGAATCTGCAGACAGTTGGCAACTTCTGCGCACTGTACACTTCAGCATGCGCTGACCCTGCTGTGGCATTTTATGTGGCCTACCACTTTGTGGGCGAGTTGCTGTTACTCCCAGTTGCTTCCAATTTGTTAGAATACCAACAGTTGACCGTGGCTTATTTAGTAGCAAGGAAATTGCACAGGTGGCAACCAATCATGGTACCACGCTTGAATTCACTGAGCTGAGAGCGACCCATTTTTTCACAAAATGTTTCTAGAAGCAGTCTGCATGCCTAGGTGCTTGATTTTATACACCTGTGGCCATGGAGGTGATTGGAACACCTGACTTCAGTGATTTTGGAGGGGTGTTCCAATACTTTTTGACACAGACACAGTGTGTCAGGCTAATTAGCAGATGTAATCTGATGCAGATGTTAGTTTTAGAACTGCATAGTACATGGTGATTCCATATTTTCCTCTGCTTGATCTGCAAAAATAGTTGCAACTTACTACAGTTCTCTTTTTTAAGTATATCTTAAAGCCAGAAGGTTGGAATGTTAAATGAAAATAGTTTTAAAAGGCATGTCTGATTTGTTTTCTTCCCCCTACACAATTAAAACATTTTCCAAGAGTGGCGATTCCATACTTTTTGCCAGAGTGTATATGTACAAACACACACACATGTATATTATATATACTACATACACGTGTATATTAATATAACATACATACACCATGGCAAAAAAAGTATGGAATTGCCACTCTTGGAAAATGTACATTTAATGGTGTAGGGGAGAGGAAAAAAAAAAAAAAAAAAAAAAAAACACAGACATGCCTTAGAGCTATTTTCATTTAACATTCCAACCTTCTGGCTTTACAAAATACTTAAAGAACTGTAGTCAGTTGCAACTGTTTTTGCATATTAAGCAGAGGAAAAAAAAAAAAAAAAAAAATGGAATCACACAATTCTAAAGGAAAATATAGAATCGCCATGTACTATGCAGTTCTAAAACGAACATCTGCTAATTCGGGATGCAGTGAAAAGAAAAAAAAAAAAAAAAAAAAAAAAAAAAGTTGATTGACATGAATGGTGGCTCCAGCATGGAGAGGTGTGTATGTACACACACACACACACACACACTCACACACACACACACACACACACACACACACTAGCTACTCACAGCGTTATAATACATCTCATTAGGCGCCGGTCCCCTCCATCCATCCCCAACCTGTACAGCGCCATGTTCTAGGAGGAGAGCAGTCTCACTGCAAGGGAACTCTGGTATTCTGATCAACGCTTAAAGCTCCAGGATCCATATATTCTGTGAGGGATTCAACCCCAGTCCTGCCCTAACTCAGATGACCTCAGGATTTATTACACAAAACGCGCATTTTATTATGCGTTCCGGTGAGTGCGCATTTCTTCTATACCTGATTGCACAAGCACCGAATTAAAGAGAACGCAGAATTCCTATGAGCACTTACAGTCACTTTATAAACACTCATAATTTATCATTATGTTTTTTTATATGCATCTTTTTATTGAATTTTAGCGCTGCACATTTCTTGTATATTTTGGTTTTTTGAGGTTTATTTGGTTACCTTGGTGCATAGCGGCTGATCATTTTTTGTGCGCTTGCATACACCCACCAGTATTATTATACAGGATTTATATAGCGCCAACAGTTTGCTCAGCGCTTTACAATATAATGGGGGACAATACAGTAACAATACAGTTCAATACAAGAGGGATTTGAGGACCCTGCTCCTTGGAGCTTACAATCTAGGAGGGAGGGGCTAGTGGTACAAAAAAGGTAGTAACTGTGGGGGATGGACTAGTTGGAAGAGTAGAAGATTCCAGTATTAGCTGAGGGCAGGATAAGCTTCCCTGAAGAGATAGGTTTTCAGAGATCGCCTAAAAGTGAGCAGAGTAGGCGATAGTCTGATAAATTGGGGTAGAGAGTTCCACAGGATGGGGGAAGCTCTGGAGAAGTCCTGGAGACAAGCATGGGAGGAGGAGACAAGGGACCTAGAGAGTAGGAGGTCTTGCGAGGAGCGGAGAGAACAGTTTTGGGTGATATTTAGAGACAAAATCGGTGATGTAATTTGGGGCAGAGCTATAAATGGCTTCATACGTTCTAGATATCCAGTATGATATTTTTCCCCATTGAGATGTGTTTTCAAAGTGTTTAATTTTTACACACACACTTGCCAAAAGTATTGGGACACCCCTCCAAATCATTGGATTCAGGTGTTCCAATCACCTCCATGGCCACAGGTGTATAAAATCAAGCACCTAGGCATGCAGACTGCTTCTACAAACATTTGTGAAAGAATGGGTCACTCTCAGGAGCGCAGTGAATTAAAGCGTGGTACCATGATAGGTTGCCACCTGTGCAAAAAATCCATCCGTGAAATTTCCTTCCAACTAAATACTCCACGGACATCTGTTAGTGGTATTATAACAAAGTGGAAGCAACTGGGAACAACAGCAACATAGGCCAGGTAAAATGAGAGAGCAGGGTAAGTGCATGCTGAAGCGCACAGTGAGCAGAGGTTGCCATCTGTCTGCAGAGTCAATAGCGAAAAGACCTCCAAACTTTGTGTGGACTTCAGATTAGCACAACAACAGTGCATAGAGAGCTTCATGGAATGGGTGTCAGGGGTTAGGCTTGGACCTTAGTTCCAGTGAGGGGAACTCTTAAGGCATCAGCATACCAAGACATTTTGGACAATTTCATGCTCCCAACTTTGTTGGAACACTTTGGGGATGGTCCCTCCCTGTTCCAATATGACTGAGAACCAGTGCACAAAGCGAGGTCCATAAAAAGACATGGATGAGCAAGTTTGAGGAACTTGACTGGCCTGCACAGAGTTCTCACCTCAACAGAACACCGTTGGGATGAATTAGAGTGGAGACTGCGAGTGGGGGGGGGGGGGGGGGGGGGGGGGGGGGGGGGGGGGGGGGGGGGGGGGGGGAAGCCAGGACTTCTCATCCGAAATCAGTGCCTGACGTCACAAATATGCTTCTGGAAAAACGGTCAAACATTCCCATAGACACTCCTAAACCTTGTGGACAGCCTTCCCAGAAGAGTTGAAGCTGTTATAGCTGCCAAGGGTGGGCCATCCAGGTCTTGGTCCATAGGGTTCAATAAAGTTAATGTAAAAGGCAGGTGTCCCAATACTTTCAGCAATATAGTGTACACACACACTTTTGGAACAGTTCATGCATTTGAGAGAGTCTGGCTGTGAAACACACACCTGCAACAATTTTTAGATAACCCAGCACATTTAGAGCATGGTCATACTGCCCCGCTTTGGCAGCAACACGGGTGCAGCGCAGTGTACCTGCAGTTCTGATGTGGATCAGCTGTGCTTTGCAGTACACTTACATCCTGTGGTTTTGATGCATTTTCTGAAAGAGCTCCAAAAGCGCTTTCAGAAAATACACCAAACCTGCAGGATGGACATAACAGAGGCCTATGACAAAGCATAACCAGCAACAACACAGGTAAACTGCACTGCGGCCAAAGTGCAGCAGCTCAGTGTTAAACTGCCCTAAAAAAAGGAAAAAGTGCACTAACCACACAGTTGAACCAATTTTAGATTGACAAGACAAGCTACTGCATTTTAGTCAATGTGACTTTTAATGTGATGAAAGGGTAAGGAAATGAGAAGTGTATTACTGGGCAACAGAGGACTATCCCAAGCCTAAATCATTAATATATTAAAGTAGTAGAACTTGACAGTAGTCAAGTTCACTTTACAGTATTCAAAAAGATCATTCCAAAGTGACTAGTTCTAGGTAGAACCATGTGGGCCAAGTTACTGGTATTTGATTCTACAAAAGCAAGCTCTCCTTGCAATAATGCTTGACCGCTTCTGTCCACACAGGTGTTTTGGTTATTCTAGCCCACATTTGCATGTTTGAACTCCTATTACATTTTTCTTAAAAAATAAGGAATGAATCTGAGATAGCAGGACCCCCTTTAATGGCTACAGCAGGTGTGCAAAAATGCAACTACAGATAACTGAGTAACCAATACAAAATGGTCAGCTAGCCTAACTTTAGAACATATATTAAAAACTGAAACAAGCTTTGTGTTGACTGATTGGGGGGGGGGGGGGGGGGGGGGGGGGGGGGGGGAGGAGTTAGGAAGGAGTTTTGCAAAAGATCACCTTAATATTGAAATCTATGAACTGCACCTCTTACCTGTAACTGATTGGCACATCCCTCACAGCAAACCATATGTCCACATGGGCAAAAGGCAGAATTGATTTCTTCCTCACAACAGACCATGCACAGCATGGCCTCCTTCAACTTCCTCAGTTTCTCCTGCAGGGTTTTTGTTTGCTGACAGCTAAGGCTCTCACAGCTATTACAGTCCAGAGAACTTTCAGATGTCTTGAGAGGAGAACTCGGCTCACTATGGTCACTCCTTGACACCAGATCCATAATGCCAGCATTGTACAAAGCCCTCCTTGCATGGTCATAGACCTCCTTTGATGTCCTTTTGATGTCAAATACATACTTTTTTCCAACGTTGATATTATCATTCAGGAAAAGAGATGCCAAGTGACCCTTAAGATCTCTGCTGTACTGCATCATAACAGCACTTGTAACAGTGTCACATCTTAAATAAAAGAAAAAGAAAGTTATGAAAATGAATCCAATACAGTTACCATAGGCTAAAACATTTCACATTCACTAGAGCAGGGGTATCAAACTGGTGGCCCTCCAGCTGTTGCTAAACTACAAGTCCCATCATGCTTCTGCTTTTGGGAATCATGCTTGTAACGGTCAATCTTGCAATGCCTCATAGGACTTGTAGTTTTGCAACAGCAGGAGGGAAACCAGTTTGACGCCCGTGCACTAGAGGATGCTAGATTACTACAGGTCTTTTAAGTGCTTGGGTGTAGCTTTTTTTCCTTCACAAAAACACCTGATGTCTCACCTGTCCTTAAATGAATCTAGTGCAGTGCAGATAGCACTGCATTAGATTCTTCCCCACCTTGCATGGGGAATGACATGGAGATCCAGAAGTGACATTTTACACAGCAATACCAGGGGGTGTTTAGAAGCAATTGCATCCATTTGACAGATGGGCTAAGAAGCAGGGAGAGTACCAACCTATGAACTGTAAACCTGAAACACATTTCCTATACTATAAATAGATAGCATGCAGTGTCCAAGACCAGACACCACCCTCCAGACCTGAACATCTTCCATAATATTGGGCAAACATGTTAAAGAACCAGGCATTTGATGATCAGAGAGATCTGATGGTGTATAGAACACAGATCATGCAGCTAAGAGTCACTTAAAAGTCAAACAAGTCCTTGGTTATCTCTTCAGTGCATACAAACCTGTAAAATGCATGCGTTTCAGTTATCGCTCTGTAGAGACCGCTAGCGGCCCTTGTGCTGATCACTTTAAAAAGAAGAACCAAACTATTCCCAGACTCCTTGGTTATTGTCAAATATACATTCTTCCCTGACTGGGTTGCCATTTGGATCACTGGATACGTAATCCTATTAGGATAGAAAAAAAAATAAATAAATAAATCATAGGAATAAATAAACAAATAATACTCTTAACATTGCATCTGGCCACAATTGCAAAATCTACACTTCTACATTCTATAAGGACAGTGAAGTGTTTACACTACACTAGATCTGCATTTTACACTTCATTGATAAAATACAGGCTGCTGTGTAGTGCCTGTAGTTCTATGCATAATGCTGCAGAACAAGCTGATAGAGAGTCCATTATATAACAAAAGGTCAATGTGACCAGGCTCACATCCTCTTCATTAGGAAACCACCAAAACAAAAACAAAATAAATAAAACAAAAACAAAAAACAAACCAAACACAAAACCCCACCACAAAAAAACAAAAAACAAAGAGGAAAAAATAGCACAACACTAGAGAGTCATTAGTATAGGGAAACATCTAGTAAAATACATAGAAGCTGAATGTGAATCCCAAGAGGCCTCCTGTGGTATGGGTTCCCATCTGACTGGGGCTAGACCCCCTTGGAACATGCAAGAAGTCTGCATCACTTGCCAAGAATGGATTACAATACAAAATGCATTTTGTAATTAAACTGTCCATTACAGTTCGGCATCTCATGTGTGCCAGGAAGATGTATTAATGGAATTATTGCAGTCAATATTTACCTGTTCATCAAGCTGAAGTCTTCTTTACAAATGGATACACCCTCAGGGCCGATTCCAATAATGAGCTTTTGTCCCTCAGCATCTCGTGCTGAATGCCACTCCACCCCATAGTTTTCCAGTGTGGACACAATCTGAAGAACCTGGTATTCTCCGGATGCTTGACTTAGTCCTTCCAAACCTTTATGCTTTTCAATAATACTGTTAGATGGGAGGAAGAGACATTATTTGTGTGGCACAAGTCTATGCAATCCATTTAGTGAATGCATATGTAAAAGCTGTACTAGAGAGGACTGTTGAGAATGTAACATTGAGCATCCTCTGCTAATCTCTTTTGGATTTTTTAAAATCCCTTATTATGAAGTATAAAAAATGGTCCACTGCATGCAAATATTGCTACCATAATCTCTATTACAAGAGATTGCACTAAACTACAAGTAAGCAAGACAGACAATGATCTTCAGGTTTTACCCCATTTAACTTTAAACTATAAAAACAGCATCAACTAATCAAAAACTGGGCACAATCTAAAAAGGAAAGTATAGTGCATGTTCAGTGATGACATGTTTTGTTATTGCAGTATGCAGCTTGGCGTAATGCAACTTTCATCTTCCATTTTAATTTTATTAGAGGAAGAGCAACTAAATGATATTTATTTTGCTAAGGCATCTTGTATTAAACTGCCACTTCTGTTATACAAAAAATGCCCCTTTTTTCCCCTCTGTTGTATCTTGGTGCTGCTGATCTCCTACGACCCTTTTGCAACCACTTCCCACCAACATGCATACACTCCAGTTATGGCAGTATGGCAATTCTCAGGTTTGAATGTCCCCCACTGCAAGCCTATATGATATAAGGTGACAACACAGGAGCACAACTGTCAGACAAGGACAGAGTTGTCACCTAAAACAAAATGTTCCTGAATAAGGAACGCTGGGTATTTTAATTAAAGCGGCAGCGGATTAAAAAAAAAATATTGAAAATTACACTGCCATGTTAAAGCTTATGAGACTTTAGCGATTAGGTTTACATACGCTTTAACAAAATGCTGAAATTGGTCAAACAGGAAATATATTGTTTCAAATCATCAGTCAATTCAGACTATACAGTCTATTTAAATCAGAAGAAGGCATGAGAAATGTATACAAGGTCAACTTGGCTAATTCTATTCTAGGAGTGAAGGAAACCCAGTGTGTTTGAGGACTATGGCTGGAAGAATGCCAACAAGCAGAATATATGCTTGCAAACACTTCACCATTCATACATATCAGATTGGCCTGTAGCAACACACAACTGTTTTGCCCTACCAAAACCTGTCATAAAGACTGTGCTGGACTCTAATGCCATTTCGTTGGGGTCAAGAGAGATTTCTCACACAAAATTTAATTTTACATGTTTAAAAGAAAAGTACCTGAAAATATAGATACAAGTCACATGGCAAGATAGGAAACCTATCAGAAAAACATTATGTGACGCAAGTCCACAGCTCTCACCCCAGCACATCCAAGTTTACAGCGGCTAGATGGGATACTGGTTTTCCTAAATTAACAGGCTCTGCATGAAAAAAAAATAGGTTCACACTACAGTGGTGCTGTAAATCCCATGTGATTCGAACAGGAACCGCACTCCTGTACAAAATCACATGCGATTTGTATGTGGTGCGATTAGAGTCACACATTTTGTATGGCTCTATTCGTACTGCAGCAAAAACGTGCAGGACCCTTTTTTGGTCGGCACTAGAATCGGATCGCATAGTTTTTCACACCTATGCGATCCAATTCTTCACATCGCACCACGTTTTGCGGACTGATGTCGGGTGTGTCAACATACACACTCGCATCGGTTCGTATGAACGGGGTGTGATTGTGATGTGGAATTCGCACTGAAACTGCTGAGAATTCTGCACTGCATCAGTGTGAACCAGGACTAAAAGCACATGTCAGTTAAGCAATTTGTACTAGGACAGAACAGATGTACTAGTTTTAAATGTTTACCGACTTTACTGTCTAGACAACTCTTCAGGGCACAATTCAAATCAGCTTTAGAAATTTACACACAGCATAACTACAGCTTGCAGTGACAGGACATTACCCTGAACAAGCCATTCTCTTATCATGGGCCCATGTTTTAATTTGCTAGAATAAATAAAAAAAAAAAAAAAAAAAAAAAAAAAAAGGCAGAAAACTAAAGGGCCCATTCACATCAAGCCTGTACTGGAATTGTACAGGAGTGTGAGGTACGTTCCTGTAAGATTCACATGCAGTTCTGTGCAGTGAGATTTCAGCCCATTCATTTTGGAGAAGCCAACATCACACCGCACCTAAAGTTGTGCATGCACTACTTTTTTTGAAACGCACTGCAACCGGAACACATGGTACAAACATACCATGAGATCTGGTGTACGCCAGCTCACTGCATTTGCGACCCACATCTGGGGTGTCACTAACTTTGTATGGACACCCGCTGCAGATTGCAAATAGTGCATTTTGCATATGATTTGAACCGCAAAAGCTGCATTCCTGTGCAACTCAAGTGCAGGCATGGTGTGAACCTGCCCTAATACTTATATATTTTACCCCAGTATTAAAAAAAAAAACAAAAAAAACAAACCAAAAACCTATGCAAGCGAATATAGTATATACACCACAAATTAGGAATCAAAAGCTTAAGACTTACCTTTCTAAAGTTGCAGTTTCAAGTTCCTTAGCGCACAAACTCTGGTAGCAGTATTGGGCAGTGTTCTGGTTATAATCACCATACTCTAGCTGCGCCAGGAGCACAGACAGTTCTATAGCCTGCTCTGAAGAACACTGCAGACGGCCTGCCAATAGATCATCTTTAATGTGCAAGAAAAACATGTGCCTGAAGGAAAGGGAGAGGAGAAAAAAAAAACTATTTAAAAAGAGGGCAAGACAATTTAAATGATAGATTAACAATCTATAAAATAAGAGACACATACTATATTGCAAAAAGGAATTGTGACACCCCTCCAAATCATTGGATTCAGGTGTTCCAATCACCTCCATGACCACAGGTGTATAAAATCAAGCACCTAGGCATGCAGACTGCTTCTACAAACATCTGTGAAAGAATGGGTCACTCTCAGGAGCTCAGTGAATTCAAGAGTGGTACCGCGATAGGTTGCCACCTGTGCAATAAGTCCATCCGTGAAATTTCCTTGCTACTAATTATTCCATAATCAACTGTTTGATGTATTATAAAGTGGAAGCAACAGGGAACAACAGCAACTCTGTCAGTTTAAGTGACCTACCACTTCATGGCTGAGTGGGGTCAGCGCATGCTGAAGCTCACAGTGAGCAGAAGTTGCCAACTGTCTGCAGAGTCAATAGCTAAAGACCTTCAAACTTTGTGTGGCCTTAAGATCACCTCAACAGTGCATAGAGAGCTTCATGGAATGGGTTTCCAAGGTTGAACAGCTGCATCCAAGCCTTACATCACCAAGTGCAATGCAAAGTGTTGGATGCAGTGGTGTAAAGCACGGACTGCATTGTATCAAGTGTAAAGTTTGATGGAGGAAGATTATGGTTTGAGGCTGTTTTTCAGGTGTTGGGCTTGGTTCCTTAGTTCTAGTGAGGGGGAACTCTGAAGGAGTCAGCATACAAAAACATTTTGGATAATTTCATGGTCCCAACTTTGTAGAAACAGTTTGGTGATGGCCCCTTTTTGTTCCAACATGACTGCACACCAGTGCATAAAGCAAGGTCCATAAAAGACATGGATGAGAGTTTGGGGTGGAGGAACTTGACTGGCCTTCACAAAGTCCTGACCTCAACCTGAGAGCAACTTTGGGATGAAAAAAGCAGAGACTGCGAGCCAGGCCTTCTCCTCCGACATCAGTGCCTGACCTCACGAATGTGCTTCTGGAAGAATGGTCAAACATTCCCATAGACACTCCTAAACCTTGTGGACAGCTTTCCAAGAAGCATTTATAGCTGCAAAGGGTGAGCCAACTGAATACTGAAACCTACAGACTAGGGCTAGGATGCCATGAAAAATTAATGTGCGTGTAAAAGGCAGGCATCCCAATACTTTTGGCAATATAGTGTATACACACACACTTTCAGAAGCAATCTGGCAGATTTAGGAATATGCCAAAATGCCTCAAGTTAAAAACACACACCTATAGGTTTTCCTATAGGTCTTATCTAGCCTTCTTTCTTCAAAAGCTTTGCAGTATATATTTTGGACATCATGACCCTTTCTAAAAATGGCAGCGATGCAATTATTGCCAGACAGCTTAACCAGTTGCCATCCAAAGGATTTATCCCCTTCCTGACCAAGGTATTTTTTTTATGCAATACAGCGCAGCGTTAATTTAACTGACAATTGCGCAGTCATTCAATGCTGTACATAAATGAAATTTGAAATTTATGCCCACAAATAGAGCTTTCTTTCAGTGGTACTTGATCACCTCTGTGTTTTCTATTTTTTTTTTCAAATGTCGTCACAAATTTTAGGCCGAAATGTATTCTGCAACATATCTTTGCTATAAAAAAAAAAAAAAAATCCCAATAATTGTATATTGATTGGTTAACGTGAAAGTTATAGCGTCTATAAATGGTGGTATGTATATACACGCACACTGGAATTTATTTTTTTTATGCTAGTAATGGCGGCTATCAGCGACTTATAGCAGGACTGCGGCAGGCATTTTGGCACTGGGTGGGAAATGCCACTGACATCCCCAGTGACACTAATACAATGATCAGTGCTAATAAAAACCACTGACACTGTACTAATGACACTGGGCAGGGAGGGGGTTAACATCTAGGCAATCACAGGGTTAACAGTGTGCTGTGTGTGTTTTACATTGTATGCGGTTTTACTTGGGAGACATGCTGCCAGGAGAGAGACCGGTGTGTAGACACAGGTCTCTACCCTGTCAGCTTTTCCAATGATCACGGAGTGCAGTCCGGGAATCGCCAGCTGGAACACAGCGATTGACATCCCCAGCCACCAATAACGGCACAAAGAATAAAAGATGTGCACACGAGGGCAGTGTGTTGTAGCATATGACCACTATTGCCAGTTGTCTCCATGCAGCTAATCTTTTTCCCCATTACTAACTTAACATGGCTTCTTTGGCACCATGTTGCTGTATTAAGGCCACCATCTTGGTAGAGGCAGATATTTGCTTCCTCATATTAGAGCCTCCAGCAATAAATGCTGTGAGCAGCACAACAGTAGTATCACCAGTCTCATTCCAGACCCCAAGACCAGCATTCAGGGGCAGCAGTGCCTTACATTCTCACTGCATATATAGAGTTAGGAATTTAGGGAGAAGACTGGGAAGTATTCCAGGGAAAAAAAAACCCCCCACACAGTATATTTGACAAGGTTATACTTGACACAAACACTTTAAACTCTTGCTATAAGAAATCATATTTCCTGTCAGAATGAGGAGAATGAACACAGACTATTTTTGCATAAGGCAGGGTTAGAACCACTGACAAGGTTTAACTGCTGTCTCCACCCATTTATATCCAGCACTTCCCATTTTGTGTACGAGAGCTATAGGCACAGTAAGTGAGGGCACTACCTTGAAAGGAAAAAAAAAAACAAAAAAAAAAAAAACACAACCCCACAATCTGTCACATTTGCAATATATGAAACTGTAAAAAAAAAAAAAAACTGAGTTGAAAGAACAAAAAAAATGGCCACTATTATTACTGGAAGAATTACTTGCATATCTCCCCAAAACTGTAATCTCTCTTTAAATTGTGCAATTGTGTTACAGGTTGTGTGGGTGCAACTTGAGACTGACTTGTATGAAGATTCATCATTACATACAAATGTGTTCACACATGTCTCATCTGAGACACTGGAGTGTCTGCCTTCCCAAAAGCATATAATTTGAGGCTGAGGCTCTGATTACACAAAATTGTCTTTCTAGAAAAAAGGTATACAGCCTCAGAATTTATAACTAGTAAGCAGGTTTGTTTGATGAAACTTTTTTTTCCCGTAATGTCTGCACAGCTGAGAAGTCTCTGTAAAAAGGCTCATTTTGCTCTCAGCAGGTTGTAACTGATAAATGCCACTGCTGTGTTATGGTGTTAACACAGGCACTAGCTTTTCTACTCAAAAAAAAGGGAAAAAAAAAAAAAAAAAAAAAAAAAGGGGGGGCCTGCCTAAAGTCCAGTACACATGTACTGAAAATCAGCTGGTACCTGCTGTTCAATGACCAGCTTCTGTTGAACAGTCCTGCTGGAAAACAGCATTCGATCAGTGCTTGCATTGTCCAATGGCTATAGCACAGATCTGTGTAATCTGAGGGGGGGGGGGGGGGGGGGGGGGGGTAATCAGGGGTCCCTCTGTCAGAATACAATAGCACAGCATCACTCAGTGTGGATGAGGGAATCTTGACAGTTTTTGTTCAACTAGTTGAACGAAAAAAGCAAAAACTGAACTCAAGTCAGAAGAAAGTCAATACAAACTTTGCTTTATGCATGTTCACCAACAAAGAACATGCTACAGGTGAGGGATAGCCATTTGCAAAGTGGGGGAAGGAACATGACTGAAGCATTGTTTAACTGCATTAACCACTAGCCTACACTTATACTTAAACCCCCTTCCAGCCCAGGCCAATTTCCAGCTTTCAGTGCTGTTGCACTTTGAATGACAATTGCGCAGTCATGCAACACTGAAACCATATGAAACTTATTTTGTTTTGACCGATAGAGCTTTATTTTGGTGGTATTTAATCAACTCTGGGTTTTTTATTTTTTCTTAAACCAAAAACCACTGAAAAAAAAAAAAAAAAAAAAAAAAAAAAAAAAAAACACGTTTTAGTTTTTGTTATAAAATTTTGTAGAGTGATTTTTCTCCTTCAGCGATGTGCGCTAATGAGGCTGCAGTGATGGGCACTGATAGGCTGCATTGATGGGGAGGCGCTGGTAGGTGGCACTGGTAGGCATTACTGATGGGCACTGAAAGGCAGCCCTGATATATGGCACGTATAGGTGGTACTGATGGGTGACACAAAGGCAGCTCAGATGGGCACTGAGATGTGGCAATGATGTGCACTGGCACGTGGCACTGCTGGGGATACACTGATCATCAGTGCACACGTTCCCTCCGTGGAATGCTGATTGCCGGCTCTCCTCTCGAGTGGTCAGCGCGACAGCTCGAGCGGAGAGAAATGCCGATAACCGGCATTTCCCTGTTTACATGTGATCAGCTGTGATTGGACACAGCTGATCACATGACCGAGCCGACATCTTCAGCTCTTTCCGTGGATTGGTGATCCGCTGTGTCCAAGGGACACAGCGCACCGATCGCCGCCCGCTGCGGGAGCCACGCATGTGCGGTTAGAATGGGAGGAAGTCATATGACGTCCTCCCAGAACGAGAGAACCACCTTGCGTCCGTCATATTACTATATGGCGGGCGGGAGGTGGTTAAAGAAAAGTGTGGCTCAGTTGCGCAAGGCTGGCTATAGGAGGACTCTGCTGCCAGAATGTAATAATCATTGGTCATGACTGATTGTATACAGCTGCTGATTAACAGACTCCCAGTTAACTCAACAGGGACAGCTACATACTGATTGAAATTTGTCTAGTACCTGCAGAATTTCAACCAATGGCCAGCTTTAATCTTGGGACTAGCTGAAACTGAAAGGAAAATACTTTAGCTGCTAGAACCAACTCTCTATATTTAAACTGTGCTTATAGACATCACCGCAGAGTTCAGCTCCAGAAATCCAGCCTGTAGGAAACATTTGATTTGGGTGTAAAATTTACTGTGTCGTATTTCTGTTGACAGTTTTGTTTGAAGTTTTTCTTGTAAAAAAAATAAATAATAAAAAGAAGGTCCTGTGAGAAAATAGCCAAGGTGTCCTTTTATCATGCAGCAGTAAATGACCACTGCTCAGTTCTCTGACATTCTCAGAGGAGACCGTTCTCGGAATGCCTGTTCATGGAGTGGTGTAGATCGCTTCTCCTAATGAGGAGAGGAGCGATCTACAAACACTTTGAACGCTGGAAAACGGCTGCTGTTACTGTAATCTCGCAAGATTACATTAAAATCAGTCAAACACAGTTTACTAAGCAGCGGTTCCCGATTCTTCACCTCTGCACTGGAGAATCTGGAGGGAGAACACAGATCACCAGTGGAGGGCTGACATCGCTCCTTCATATACTGGCCATCTGTGTGCGGAGATGATCAGCCACTAATGATCTGAGAGCAGCATCAGCAATGATACTCAGGATCACCGCTGATCTCAGTTTCATAAAAGGACACCTAAAACACAATTTTCAAATTGGTTCCCAAGAATTGCAACATCTCAGAATCATCCTTTGGATATAAAAAGGGGTGCCAAGAGGAAACAGTTTGAACACTGATCTGCCCACGGTAATAAAGTGCAGTCCTAACTACTTGAGTTTGGAGACTATGTGTTCAGATGTTACAAGATCCAACAGTTAATTGGCATGAATATGGAAAATAGTAACAAAAGGAAATGCTGTCCATAGAGGATAGATGAGCAGCAGCCACAATAGAGGGAGGAGAGCGGCTCTGTGCACCTGGTGCTCTCCAATTACAGGCCTTTTTGTGTGCACTGTAGTAACCTTTCCCCTACATTACAGAGGGAAGGTCACACGCTGAACAACAGCCTCTTCCAGCGTCTCACCCCCGCAGCCAACTACAGATTATACAGCAAACAAGAAGAGATGCCCAGCGCAGCAATACAGATTTTACACACACCAGATCTATTACCAGTAGGGATGTTATTCAGAACTATGACTCATATGTGGATTTAAAAAAAGGACATTTCTAAACCTTTATACATGCAATGGTTTTAAATGGTATAAAATCACTGTTTAGATGCATTCAATTTATCGGTTTTCTGTCCGAAACGAAAAATCAATGTCCAGGGGCAATTAATATTTTGAACATGCCTATATGTATTTAAATGCAAGTACATTTAAAATGCAGGAGGAGAACTTGGATCTGGGAAGCAAACTTTTCCTAAATTTAAATAAACCAAACACAGGAGACTCGAGTGAATGAAGGCGAAAGGCATTTTTTATTTACAAATGACAAATCAGCCCAAG